GTTTTTGAACCAAGAGTACTTCCCAAACTTTAAACGAGTTTTTTCCCCGAAACAATATTTTTACGAATGGCGGGCACGATAACTCAAAAACTATAAATACAATCGGTTCAAATCAAGTCCAGAATAACGTGTTAAATTCTAGATCTGCACAACCACCGTATGTACTACAATAAATTCAATCTGTCAAAAACTTCTTTATTTCCGAACTTGGGTTTTCACCGAAAATAGGTGATTCTACAAAAAATAATTTTCTTGGCGTACCTTTTTGCTAATTTTCGAGCGAAGTAAATATCTTAGATCATACAAGATTCAGATATGTAGTATTTTTATTTGCGTTGTAATTTAGGGATTCGGTTATTCCAGTGATCGGAAAACATGCCCGTAGTCGCAAAGAAGGACTTTCTTTTAATTACAAAAATCAACAACAAATGTCAATTTATTGTTGATTTTTGGCCGTTTGAAACTAATCGAAATTTGAAATCAAGAATAGGTGGGCTCCCCTTAAAGTAAACCTAAACCGTTGTTTCCAAGTTTTAAAATTTTTCGCACGGCAATGGTCTGGCTACTTCAAACAATTTGGCATGTAAATCGAAGGTGGATTACCATCGAATATCAAAGTAGTTTTTGAATCCCTACAAATCGTTTACTAGTGGAGAAAATGGTCGAAAAATGTATGTCCTAGTTTAAAGCTTGGCCGCAGATATGTCATGTTTTCCGGATTTATATCTATTAACCAAGGATACAGTTTAATCTCAACAAATGAAGGTATTGATGCGAAAGTTTTGGACTAATTTTCTGTTTTTGTAAAATTTAATTTCAGACCAATATTCCAAAATAGGAAAGTCTAGCTCCGAACATTAGGTTTTTAATTTATATTACAGGATACATATATATTAAAAATATATTTTTCGCAAAATAATGTTTTAAATTGTTGCATAGCACGGGCTGATTCAAGAAGAAACACCAAAACTACTAAATTAGTTATTTTTTAGAAGCTTCAGGATTTCTTTAACCAGTTGTTTAAAATTGCCAATTCCATTGAATATATGCTAAATAAATCCTAATAAAATAGTTTAACCCGGTAAAAAGTTCTAATGCAAATGCCGTTGTAGATCTCATAAAAATCGTAACCACATTTTAAGTAATTCAATAATCATTTAATTGGTAATCATACAAATCTTCGATATATGTAGCAACTACATATTCTATTTTTAGAATAGGTCATATAATTTTACAAAATATGCTAATCTTTCATGTGATGTCTGTCACCCAAATGGTAGATTAATAAAAACGCAGCAATTCACAAAAACAAAAATTCCCAAGCTAGTGGTGTAATGTTGCCATATTTCTTAGTTATTTCAAATATGTGTGTTTATTTGTTGCTTTATTGTGGCTCTTTGCCGCCGCTTTTACAAAAACAAAACTAAAAACAAATGATATTGACATTGTCTTCGTTGTTGTTGTTCGTGTTGTATAGGTTATTTGCCTGGTTTTAAGTCCATTTGAACTACCAGCTGTCTCCTGTTTTTTTTTTGTTAATATCACTTCAAAGCAGCAACAACAACAATGTTTGCATCTGTATGTTCGCACTATGTGTATGCGAGTGTGTGTGTGTGTGTGTGTGAAATGTTATCCATGGCCATTGTTGTTGTTGGCAATACTAACTGACATACCAAATATGTATTCTTTCCGTTTTCCATTTCAAAGCAACCAACAAATGGAATGCGTTCATGTGTGTGTGTCTGTCTGCCTGGCTGGCTGTCAGTGTGTAAATGTTTGGTCGTTATCGTCATTGAAGGTTTCTGCTGTGTGCGTCTTTGTTGTTGTTGGCGTTGTCATTGCCATCGTTAGTGTTGTTGTTGTTGCTGTTACTTTGATCGCACATTTCATTTTGAAGTATTTTTTTTTGTTTTGTTATGGCTGAACATCTGCTCAATGATTTCCTTTTTGCCTTTACATGTCCATGTGTGTGTGCACATTGCTAACTGTGTCTGTTTGCTTGTGTGTGATATTTTTATGTGAATTCCTCTGGCTTGCTCTCTATCTGTTTCTTCGTTATCTCTAGCTATAGTGTTTGTTGTTGTTTTTTTTGCTCTTGCAGCCAAGCCAAATGTGTTGTTAACTTTGTTTGTTGTTTTGCTCTTTGCCGCTGGTTTTTCGTCATTTCGTTTCTTTTGCCATACTCTCTTCATGAGAATTTCAAACAATAACCTCTAATGTATGGGGTGGGCTGCTAATCAACAAGAGTTTACAATTCTCAGAATAAATGTAGACCAAGCATTGTTTTTGTTGCTGTTGTCGATCGCAGGGCTTATGACAGTTGCAAATATGTTCATGATGTTTTTTTGCAAATGTGTAGTATCAATCATTAAAATAATTTTTACAGTTAATATGCAAAAAGTGTGGAATTGAGGGAATACATGGAGCCCCAGAATCCTTGTCCAGTAATATTATCAAAAACTACTCCCTAACACCTGCGAAAGACCCATCATTGTCATTTCAAATTAAAAAAAAAACTCATCATTCACAAAAATACGAATTTAATTGTTGTTGTTTTTAAATAATGCATTTTGAACACCATTTTGAATGACTTGCGTGATCACGGCTCCTGGTCTCCTACTTCATCAAAAATTTATTTATAGCTTATTTTGTTGTTTCCAAACTAGATGAAAGCTTAAATTATAAGTTGCACTCATCCTGTATGGATGGCTTGGTTATAAAAAACAAAACAAAAAGCAAAAACAAATTCAAAAAAAAAGAACTTGTTTTAGTCCAAAGAATCAACGTAATACGATCTTCATTCATTTTCTTTCATGTGGTCTCACTGCTACTGCCTGTCTTTGCTGTCCTGATTATTTCTTGATTTTGTCGCTGTTGTTGCTGTTTCCTTCCTTTTTTGAGTTTTCTGTTTTTTCCTTCATTGCTTCCAACTGATGCTGACAATTATAATTAATGTCACTTGCTTAAACAAATTACAAACGGAAATGCATCCATACTGTCATAAGAGGGAAGGGGAGACGGCACAGAGAGAGCAAGAAACAAACACAAAGGGAATACAGGATGGAGCCAAGTAGACCTTCAAAGATATTCGATAATGAAGAACAGTGGAGCAAATGACATACTTATGAGGATACCCAGAGGATTATGTTTCCTGTATTTAACATTACAAAAATATGTTAGGATTTGAAATACAATTCTAGGGATATTGTTAATGGCATTCGATGTAAAAATCGAGGTCAATCTTAAAGTTCGTAGTATTTTAAGACTTAAAGGATCAGAAAATGTATTGAAATAATTTCGTTGTTGTTGGTTTTTGTAATTAAAAAAGCCCATATTTTCAACGGAAAGCAGGATTTCTGGTCACTGGAACATTTGAACCTTAATCATCTAGCGGAATTCGCAAGACTACATAGCGGGTTCTGATATGACCTAGGATTATTAACTTCACACAGAAATTGACGAATGAGGGACGGTCGTCTATTTTAAATTACAAATTTTTAAAATTTGAAACCGATTTGAATTTTAAAGGGATTTTCATGAATTAGGATAGGTTTTTGAAACTGCAAAGTTAAATAATTGTTTTATGAAGACTGTTTGTAGGATTGAGAATTATAGCTCAATACACTAAAGCTAAATTTTCGCCAATTTGTATATGCCTTTCTAAAAATTTAATTTTTTGAAATCCATAAAATAATTCTCAAAGGTCATGCTTCAATTACCAAAAGTATTTAATTTAATATTGGATTGGCGTAAATGCCTTCTTCATAAAAACTTTAATATTTTGTTTTCCTTTGCTCAAAGGATTTCATTACCACTGTTGCTTTGAATAAACGGAAACTAAAGGTACCAGCACCATGCGACTCAGGTTCTCAGGTGGTATTACATCGTTTTTTTATTTTTGCTGTTGCATTTTTCGCTAAATGCAATTTAAAGATTTAAGCAAAGGATGCTTGCAAGTACGATTTGTTGTTGTTGTAATTTTAGTTTTTCTCTCACAAAGTAAAAAAACGCAGCTACTAATTGCACAGCATCAGCTGTACTTTTTTGTAAAGTTTTTTTTTATAATTTTCTGTTTTTTTCTTTTGGTCTGTCATTTTGTGGAGCCCGCGCAGTAAGACAAAGGGCAGGAGGCAGGGAGCGTGGAAGTTGTTGTAATTTACACAGACATTATTTAGGTTATTCAACGGGCTAAAACGTGTTTAATGTAATAAAAGCATGTGTACACCAAACATGCAACACATGTTCATTTGTTCTCTTCCTTGGCTGCTGGTGCAAAGGAATCTGGTTGAAACTGAAAAAAGCAAAGAAAAAACACAAAAAAATACAGGACGGCATAGCTGACAGATCGCGCCAAGAAAATAATCGACAACAACAAAAAAAGGAACCAAGCAAACCGTAGAGACATCAATTAAATCAGCGATGCCAAAGCGAATGTGAAATACAAAAACAAAGAGCGACAATAAAATAAGCAATCTTTAAAAGATGATGACCAGATAGATGGGCCGATGGAAGGACGGATGGATGGACGTACGGACGGACAAGCGAATCACCAAAAACATCTGTTGTTTGTTCGGCATGACCAGTGGAACAAAACCAAAAAAACTGCTGCAGCCAGTCATTCATTCGTATCAAATACTCGCAAAACGCGTTTTTATACGCACATTCACATGAAATTGACATAAATCCTTAAGTGTACAACAACTACAACACAAACAAGGAGCTCAAACGAAAAAAAAGAAATCTCACACTACTTGGTCCATGGAAAGACATCAAGGGTTCTTGCTCTCTTCGTAATATGAGAAACACACAAAGGCTACGTCCACCAGCCAGTCAGCCCATCATCATCAACAACAAAAAATACAAACGGGTTTTTTGTTGCCTCGATCGGACAGGTTGTTTTGCCTCATTATGTTGGCCATTTGGGGGCCGATTCAATAAAAAAAACACACACATACGCACGCAAAATTTTCATGAATGAATTTGTGGATTTTGCCACTTACCTTTTTCTCGGTGAGTTTCTCGCAGCGTCGTTGTTTGCAGATTTGATGACTTTTGTCGTTGCGACATGGCGCACAATCGCCGCAGTTATCCTTACGCTGACACCCGATACATTCGCCACATCGTTTGCGTTTCTTTTTCGACTGGAAAATGTTAGAAGACATCTATAAGAATGTTGATCGTGTTATGATCGTTGGCCTTTGGAATTATGCCATTCAATGGGAGGGTGGTAGTGGAGGAACTGACGTCGAGCATTCCGTTTATACAGTAATTAATTAGATGTGACTTCCATTTTCAAAATTTCAAACTCCTTTTCATTTCCTCCACTCCTCACTCCTTCCATGAATATCTCTAAACAAATTTCATTCGCAACTTACTTGTTTTTCACCGGCTCCGTCATTGCTATCACTGACACCCATACAGCTAATGGGACTCTTAAAGTTCGCAGTACTCGAGACAGCATCAACTTGGCCGGGATTGCTGGGGTCCACATCCATGGCACTAGCCTCGGACTCGGCACTGGACTCCAGCGAGTTGGCCCGATTTTTCCGTCGTTCTTTTTTACGCGCATCCACTCTGGCCACTGGCGAATTTAGAACTTTATCCGTTTTAATGGGCGTGGTGGTGGAGGGCGTCGGCGTATGGGGTTGGGTTGTGTGCGGAGTATGAGATCCAGTACTGGTGTGGGAAGAATGCGGCGTATGATACCCGGCAGCTGTGCTGCCACCGCCACCTACGCCATGATTAGAAATATCCATCATTGAAGAACTACTGGCCCCATCGTATGACGGTGTGGGCGTATGCATGCCCATGGGCGTGCCCAGGGTATTTGGTGTATTTGATGTGGGCACACTCAACAGTGAGCCATTCGAATTTGTGTTGAGATCAAATGCCGACAGCGAATTGTCCTTCTTGGCACCTCCAAAAGTGGTGCTGGTGGTGGACGACGATGAGGATTGCAGTGAGGGCGGTACCAGGGAATTGGGTGTGGGGGGAGCATAAGACGGTGTCAATGGTTGATATAACAATGGATCTGTATAGCCGCTAGTACTGGGTGGCAATGCTGCCGGTACCAGAGGATAGGTTGCGGCTCTGTGGTGCGGATGAAAAGCATTGGGCGGCACTGGCGGAGGCGGCGCCCCCAATGGCGCAAATCCACTAGAGGGCGGTGTTATACTCGTTTGCAGACTAGCCAACTGGGTTAGGGGCGAGCCCACGCTCACCATGCCCGGTGAACTTACTGATATACTGGCCGGTGACATGGCCACTGTTTGTAGAGAGTTCAATGAGGGATTTGTGGGCGCCGACGCAGCTGCAGCCGCTGCTGCTGCCGAGGCTGAGTTTGGCGGCGGTATTGGTGTACCGTCGGCCATTAGTTCATTAAAGCCATAAAACTGACTTGAGAAGGAGGGCAATTTTGAAAATGGCTCAAAGCCACTCTTTGGTTGTTGCGTCGCAGCTGATGCTGGCGGATTGGAATTGGAGTTGGAATTTGAATCTTTGGACTCCATTTCCCAAGGTCTGGTATAGTTGTTTGATCCGTTTGTTTGAGAGCTTACTGAATCATTGGTGTTGTTGTTATTATTGCTGGTCGTATTTGTGTTGTTGTTGCTGTTGCTGCTACTGTTGCCGTTGTTGTTTGTATTGTTGTTATCACCTGTTGTACCATTTGACGTTTGAGAAGTTGTTGTTGACACATTGTTGTTGCTGGTGCTGTTATTATTTGTGGTACTTGTGGGCGTAGAGGACTGCAAGGGCTGTTGTTGCTGCTGACTGGCGGTTGTTTCACTGGCTGTTTGTTGTTGTTGTGACTGAGGCTGCTGTTGACTGGGTGGTGGTTGCCTAGCATAATAGTCCCAGTGTTGCTGCTGACCCTGTTGGTGATATTGTTGATGCTGGTGGGGGTGGTACAACGATTGCGAATGCTGCTGTTGTGTTGTTGCCGGGTAATGTTGATATTGTTGATGGTGTGGGGGGACGAATGCTGTAGTTGTGGGTGTTTGATAGGCGTGGGCCGTGTAATGGTGACTCAAACTACTCAAGTGTTGCAGATGTGAGTTGTGCAAGTGTGGACTGGCAAGCGCTGACGACGATGACAACTGATGATGTTGTTGTAGGTGGTGATGTTGTTGTTGGCTAGATGCAGAATGTTGCTGGTGCTGTTGTTGCTGCTGATTTTGCTGGCTATGATGATGCAAAGAGTGTGCAGACGTTTCTTGTGGACCGCCGCTTGTTTGTGCCACTACTGTTGACGCCATTTAAACGTATCCTGTTGCATGGCCGTTTCTCAAGTGCCTTGACAGGATCGGTGAACAAATAAAAAAGTTCAGTTGTCTGTGCGAGAGTCCAACAGTATGTGTTGCTCTCGTTCGTGTAAAACTAGTAGCTCAATGAAAAGTGTAGTTGGGGTATGTGTGTGTGTGTATCCTTCGTTAAATATTTATGTGAGATTATTCCTTATCCGTTTTTATTTGTTTGGCAAAATAAAAGTTGTATCAAAGAGATGCTATTTGTTGTTGTTGATGTTTTTGTTAATTTGAATCTGTATGAAATTTGTACCTTAACTTTTGTGCTTTAGTTTTGTTTGTTTTTTGTTGGGGGGTAAGAGGTTGCAAAAATTTGTGATTACTCTGTTTTCGTTTCTTCTTCGTCTTTGTTTTATAAAATATTTGTACACTTGTTTTTACACTTTTGAGGTAGTTTTTCAAAAAATGTTTGTTTATGTTGTTGTTTTTGTTGTTCAATATTTATTATTTGTTGCAGTTGTACAAAATCACTGGGTCCAGAGTTATGTTTGGGAAGGGCAATGGATTTGGCAACAATTTTTGTTTTGTTGTTTCTTCTCTTTCTTTTTTCTCACTTAAAATTCATGGGTTTTGTTTTTCTTTTTAACACTACAAGTCTAGAATTGTTTTTATTAATATTTGTTGTTGTACGTATTTCGTTTATATTTGTTTGTTCATTTGTTAATTTATTTTGTAATTGTTTGCGAAGAAATGTTAATTATTACTAATATTTTGTAACGCTCTGGCTGAATAATTATTAAATTGATTAATGATTGGAAAAAATTTGTATTTCTGTGCAGACTATATTTGCTTTTATTAATTTCAATATTCAATATTTGTATATATGTATGTATGTTATTATAAAAAAGAAGAACATTTGTTATTTTGTACTTTAAACTGTTTACAATGTTGCTGTCGTCAATATTTTGTTGGCTTGTTTTTCAAAATACTTTTTTTTTTGTTTTGTTTGTTTGGATATTGCATAAAATTTGTTGTTGATTATTTAATTTGATATTTTGGTTTTGTTTTGATTTTTCAAAAAATTTGTATGTTTTCAAATTGCATTTCAAAACTGCTTTAATATTATTAATCAGACTTTGTTATTTTGTAATGCTGCGTATTTTTTAATTTTGTTTTTCTTTAAAAATTCTATTTTGTTTTAACTATTGCTTTGCTAAATATTTTTATTTGTTTGAATTGGTATTTTGTACTTTTGTTTTTAGTAATTAATTTTTCTGCTCTCCGCCTTGTTGTTATTTTTGTTTTATAAAAATATATATTTTATTTTAGCTATAGAAGTATATATATTTTATGCATATATATTGTTTAGGTAAATTTTGTTTATTTAAACAATAATTTTTTGTTTTGTTTTTTTCTTTTGGGTGTAAATTTGTATTTGATTTTTTGTAATTATTTTATTTTGTTTTATTTTGTATTAATGTTGTGGCATTTGTATGTTTTGTTGGTTGGTTGGTTGCTTGATGTTGTTGTTGGTTAATAATATTTATTGCTTTAAATAATTTATGCACTGGTTTTGTCTTCCATTTTTTGTTTGTTGTTTTGTTTTGCTTGGAATTTTTAGATTATTTATTAAAATTGAATATTCTTAAAATTAATTGTTTTGTTTTTGGCTTTGTTAAACTGATGTTCAATGCAGTTTTTTGTTATTAAATTTGTATTCCATAAATTGGGGGTTCGTATTCCTTTAAATTTTCATTTATTTTTTGTTGGTATCTGTAAGAAAGAAAAATAGAAATTATTAAAAAATTTATAAAAATGCAAATAAACTAAATTATTACATATAAGACCGGAAAAGAAATTTCTTTCTTACGAAAGTCATTACATACCAAACTAACGTAAACAATTTTTCTTTTGTTTTCCACTTTAAAGTCTATTTAGTGTTGGGTATGTACGCCCGTACCAACGACAAAGGACTAACTTGTGTGCTACAATAACAGCATGTGCGTTTGCTCATATGGCTAAACAATTCTCTTTTTCCTTTATGCTCTCATTGGTAACTCTCCCCACACAGTCCCTTATGATCTCTCCCTCTCCCTTCAGCCAACTCGCCCAATTCAGTTCTGTGTTCTCTTTTCTCTCCGAATCATAAAAACCTACCACAATCTCTATTCCAATTTCTCTCTCTCTCTTTCGGCCTCTCCCTATTACAACAACATCAGGTAATTTCCCAAAGGACACCAGGCTGTATCAATATTCTTAGCAAAAAGTGAGAGTGAGGTGCAAGGATAGGTAGATGACACATGTCCTCAACAAAACACATTTTCCGGAGAAAACAATTCAAATATATGACCTGTTTCCGTACAAAAGTCGTAAAAGGATTAAGAATGCGAAAAATCCCATATTTGTTATAGTAAGACACATTTTATAGACTGCTATTTTTTAAGAAATCATATACAGTGGTGGTCACAGAATTAAAACATTTACTGTGGTAAACATTTTGTGATCAGCCCTCTATTCGTTGGAGGTATTTTTGAAATTTTTTTTAATTCAGAACACTTTGATATACTGCACTTAAAAGATTTAGTGTGAAAATAGAAAATTATTGCATGCAATTTTTCCATAAATAACTGTTTTTATGAAAATATATCGATTTTGAAGTGGCCATATAATTAAAACATTGTGTGATTTTTTACTTTACTGCATTTTTTGAAAATATTTTTTAAAAAGCTCTTTAATTAGTTAAATTATGTAAACGGAGCACTGATAGAATCATTTACAGATGAAAATATCTGAAAAAATCTGTAAAATCTATCAAAATTGCCAAAAGTTGGTACAGTACACCTAACATTCAGAAAACACCCTTATTATAGAAAATAAAGGTCCGAATGCACTAAAAATTGCTAGAATTAGTAAAAAACAATTAAAATTCTCAAAATGAATAAATATTTGAAATAAAAACTCAAAAAATGGGAATTAACCTAAAGGAACGATTCAATTTCAATAGCCTTTACTAAAGAAGGCCGGAATATTTTTGCAGTATGTGAGAAAATATCGATTGATATTGGTATTTATTATATCAAATCGATTGTTCGAGTAGTACAGAATATATTTCATCAAAAAATATATCAGTCACAACAGAACGAACAGAGATCAAGGCCTATGTTGACGAGTAAAGGTTTCTGGCACACAGCAGCATTTTTGATGTTCAACACAAGTCTTCAAATATTTGTCAAAGTGTAATTTTTTTCCTAATTTGTTACTAAAATAGATTAAGTGGAAGTTATTCTCTTCATAAAATATTATTTTGGAAAAATATTGTCATGTTCAATAGATTTTAAGGGTCAAGAGTTGGCCATCAATCATTCTGCTGTGTGCCAGAAATCTTTACTCGTCAACATAGGCGTTGATCTCTGTTCGTTCTGTTGTGACTGATATATTTTTTGATGAAATATATTCTGCACTACTCGAACAATCGATTTGATATAATAAAATGTTGTATCAATCGATATTTTCTCACATACTGCAAAAATATTCCGGCATTCTTTAGTAAAGGCTATTGAAATTGAATCGTACCTTTAGGTTAATTCCCATTTTTTGAGTTTTTATTTCAAATATTTATTCATTTTGAGAATTTTAATTGTTTTTTACTAATTCTAGCAATTTTTAGTGCATTCGGACCTTTATTTTCTATAATAAGGGTGTTTTCTGAATGTTAGGTGTACTGTACCAACTTTTGGCAATTTTGATAGATTTTACAGATTTTTTCAGATATTTTCATCTGTAAGTGATTCTATCAGTGCTCAGTTTACATAATTTAACTAAATTAAAGAGCATTTTTTAAAAATATTTAAAAAAATGCAGTAAAGTAAAAAATCACACAATGTTTTAATTATATGGCCACTTCAAAATCGATGTATTTTCATAAAAACCGTTATTTATGGAAAAATGCATGCAATAATTTTCGATTTTTGCACTAATTCTCTTAATTGCAGTATATCGAAGTGTTCTGAATTAAAAAAATTTCAAAAATACTTCAAACGAATCATCAAAAAATGTTTACCACAGTAAATGTTTTAATTCTGTGACCACCACTGTATATGGATAATAAAAAATAACAGTATACATGATTTTATACAATTTGAAGAAGATATTCGATATTGTATATTCTCCAATGTGAGCTAAAATGAGCCATTATTATTAGGATAAAGACTCTAAAGCGAGATTTTGTAATTATTGTGGCCACTTTCTAATTTTTACCTTCAAATAAATTTAAGTTGTTGTTGAATAAAAAATTATTAGCCCATGTTTTATTCCATGAATTCCAGAAACAAATATATTTTCTTAATATTTGTAATATCAATAAGAAGCATAAAATATGTTTACAACATGTATATTTTGAACCCACTGCCTACTGTATTGAATTACAGCCTCTCCAAATCGTCTCCCTTTTTGGAATTTATAGTTTTTGTGTGTATTTTTAAGTGGGTACTTATAAATGTGTGTTTCCATATGCTGCATATTTCAGGGAATATTAGGATAGAGAAGAAAGTAGAAACTGGACAACTTATTCAAGAAAGTAAAATCTAAATCAATAATAAATTTCTTGAAGGACTGCGATTTGAAATTTCGGCGATGTTCAAACGGCTGGCAAATAAACGTGGAATATATTTAAAACTTGTAACTTTGCATATACACTGGAGGCAAAAACTAAAGCAACTAATCTTGCAAAGTTAATAAATGCAATATAACTTTTTTTAATAATGATATCATTTTGGGTTTTCAGTTTTGAATCGGGTACTTCATTTGCTAAAAAAAAACAAAAATATTGATGCAAAATCTATTATGAAATCTGTATATGTATATATAAAATATTACGTGTATGTTCGGCATCGCTAAACTCGAAAACTACTACACAGATTTTGACCAAACTTTATGTACATGATATATGGGCGTGAGGAGTGTTTCTGCGTAATTTTAAGTTCGTCCGACAGATGGCACAATATTCTGCTTCA